AAAGGATTAAAACCGGTTTCCTGTGAGCGTGCCACTCTGGTCTAGCTTTCCAAATGTGCCAAAGCATGGCTTTTTCACAGTTAAAATAGGAAGTACTATAATGATTGAAAGAGATTAAGTATAAAAGAAAAGATTTTATAATACCGCTGTTGTTTCTTTCTGAATTGCTAAATCAGCAATGCAAATTTAAGGATTAAGTTGGCTATGTTCACAAAATTGGTGAACTTGAATCAAAATGAGTTGGAAAAGAAAAACCGTTCGGTTGCTGAGGAGCACGGTTTGATCTTAAATTCTTTTATCGGAATCTGACGTAAGCTTCGTTTTTGTATATCTGACATACATATGGTAAGTAAAAATGTTTATCAAAATGCATATAATTGTTTCTATGGTACATGGTTTAATACAAAATAAACAATTTTAAAAAAACTGTCTTTGTGTGTGTCAGTCTGTTTAGTCCAGCAAATCTCCGAAAAGGATTTCATTAAAATCAACATTATTATTTTTCCTGGGTTGGAATCAAACCCTGTGGATTGTGGCTAGTCAAATGGTTTGATGACTTCAAATTTTCCTCTGCACAATTAAGCCGTAGAACCGATTTATATGAAATTTGTTTTCGAGATAGAGTCCCGGCAAAGGACATAGGACTTTTTATGCCGGAAATCATCCTTTAAAGGGGTGAAAAGGGGGGAGGAAGTTTGTATGGGGAATCAATAACCACTTTGAGTTGTAGAATAGGTTACTTTTTACTGCGATAACCAACATACACGTAGGCCGAGCCGCGGGCAAAAGCTAGTAAATCTAATAAATCATTATACAAAAATCTCTCTGTAATTCTTTGAATTTTCTCGGAATTGAACCAAGGAATAAATATGTTTTAATATTTTATCGTGAATTTTTCTTTGAAGTATACATATGTTAATATTAGGGACTATTCTAGCGTTTTGGTATAAACTTCCTTCAATAAAAAGAAAAGCAGTCAGAGCTATCAAATAATAGAAATCAAAGTCATTTGATGTTATCACATCTATCTGTTCAAAATTCATTCATCTTAACGAAAGTAGTGCCTGGAGCATCACAAGTTAATAAAGTCGTCTAATGAACAGTTTTCTTTGCTGGTACTGTCTTAGCCTCCGATGCAACCCCTCAGGGATGAGGGAGTAACGTTGAGTGCTGCTCAACTTTGAGCAATTAACTTTGCATTTTTTTTCATGTAACCAGTGGAAAAATATCGGAGATTACGTTCGAATATAATGGTTGAAAATAATTGCCTGCCTTATGTCTCTCCTGTGTTATTTGTTTGTCTTTTATACCATTGGCAGTCTCTCAATACATATATCGTTTAATATTGTTGACTAGTATTAAAAACGCCGTAGTAAAATAAATTAAAAATAATAAGAAACTAAATATTTGTTTTGACACTTACCTACTACATGTGTTATTTATTTGACGATATTTTTAGGTGATAATGATAAGTGCTACTGCTAGTATGCAATGCACTATGTTAGCAATACAACACTACTTCTAGAAGTAGTGTTGTATTGCTGCAGCCTGCTTTCGAATAATCTAAGAAGTGCTAGCACTTACTAGATATCCTCTCTCTACCTCTATTTCCTATATCAAACTGCCTCGGTGGTGAAGTTGATAGCGTAGGCGACTGCTGTGCTGAGGTCTTGGGTTCGATTCCCGGGTCGAACCAAATGTTTGCATGATCGGCAAATATTTGTTTCGGAGTTTGGGTGTTTTCTATATATAATATGTATGTATTTACAAAAAAAAGTATATAAGTATTCTATCTGTCAATATAGCTTTCATAGTACAAGCTCTGCTTAGTTTGAAACTAGATGGCGTTGTGTGTTAGATGTCAGATAGTAGAGATATCTATTCTTATTTCCAATCCTTGTATTGCTAAAATTTACTTTGGATTTTGCTATCCGTTAAATGTGTTAATAGTGTACCTTTTAACACAAAAGAATTTTGAAGGAATAATTGAAATTGCCGGCCACGATCATTCTGTTTGTTCATTTAAAAATTCTAGACAAAAACGTTGGGAGCAACCAATTTCGAACAAAAAGGGCAACTAATACATTTTTAATTTGGCCAACCTCAAGGAAACGTTCCTCGTAGATCACTCGTCTTGCAAACAGTATTACGAATTCATGAAAATGTTAATAATTTTTACGGAGGTAGGAATTTTTTGCTCTCTCTTGAAACTGATAGAAGGGCGGCTTTTATTAGGGTGGTTTCGGGGTGTAGGGTGGTGCCCGGGAGGGGGATACTTAAGTAGATATACTGTAATTTGAATCTTAATACGAAAGCCATTATTTATTTTAAGTAGAGAAAGAAATGCGTGATTCTTTTTGTGATGAAAATCTTGAGTTTCGATTGAACGTTTCATATTAAATTTGTTAAGTTTGAAGGGCTCTTGTTCTGCCATGTTTCTTCTGATTCTTTGCTTTTATGATTTCGAGTAGGTTCACATAAAATATTTAAGTGGGCCTTATTAATGATACACGTGTCAGATCTGATATTATCGTGTTTGAGTTCTGGGATAGGTGAAATTATGAAAACGCAAGAGTGCAAATCAAATTGTGAAAAAGGTTCAAACAAAATATAGAAGAGGAAATGTAATAGGATTTAAAATGATATAAAATAAAATCGGATAAAAATTCTTGTGGTATGTGGGGATTTGTGATGGTAACGGTCTATGCCTAACTCGGAGGGAAGAAGGCGTCATGCATTTAATAAACGAGATCAAAAGATATTACATGCGAAGACCCGACAATCACGTACTGAAGAATAGCATTTCCCTGGCTGCAGCAAAGAGAAAGAGAGGCAGGCCATAAGCTGCATGGATGACTAATGTCCAAAGGGACATGAAGAAGTTGGGCCTGTCTAGTGACGACGCTTAACAGCGAGGCATATGGCGCCTCAAGATTAGGTAAGCCGACCTCGCGTAACAGGAAGAGGCGAGGAGAAAGAAGAAGAATAGATATTACATACTTTTGAATTGCTTGATCACTGGCCGTAATCAGCCTGTGACCACGTTAATTTCCATATAAATAATTTTACAGCATCTTTATCAACAGCCTTTAATAGTCCACTGCAGGACATAGGCCTCTCCTTAGAAAGAAGGTTCTGGCACACGTTGGCCAGCCGGTTTGATAGAGAGTTTGTTTCAAATTTTCCTTCTTTTTGCGGTGCTGTTGTCCTGCAAAGCTTGCCCTTACGACATCTACGGGAGTAATAGGAGTGGTGACACTCTGTATTCTTAATCCGTCACTACACGGATGAATTTTACATAGGAAAGTGAAAGTGTAATAGTTGGTATGAGATGTAACTGTTTGTGAATGAATAATATACGAAAATACTTTTAGATGCTTTAAAATACATATGATAAAACAAAGTAGATGATTTAAACAGTCACGCTGTTTAAATTGAGATTACACAATTAGTGGAGGTGGTGTAATTTAATTAATATATTAAATCGTGTAAAATATAATTGTTTACTTTCAATGTACAAAATAATTCGACACAATCATATATGTAATACAATAAATACAATGAAGTAGGTTTTACTCGTACGTCGACGTTTTCTGTGAGACTTTGGAAAATATACTACGTATACTATTTAATATATATTTAAGATACTTATTTATAGAATGCGGGTATGAGAAAGATTGACCTTTTACCTTAAAGTGAATTATGAGTGATGATCCACAGTGAGGGAAACAACCAATGAAAGTTGTATAATTAACAATTAAGCAATATTTCAAAGAAGCTAATATAGTCAAAGTATTAGTAGTTTTGGTAGAAAACATTATACGAAAATAAAAAATATACTAAAATCAAGCATTCCCTTACGTACTCCTTCCTAAAAGGCCGGCAACGCGTTTGTGACTCCTGAGTTGCAGACGTTCATGGGCGGCGATGGTCACTTTCCATCAGGTGGCTTGTCGGCTCGTCTGCCCCCTCTAACAAAAAGAAATATACATATTTATACAAAAAATTATATTATTTATACAAAAGAAATTGATTTTGATAAAGAACACTTGTATAATTTTTCATGCCTTACGGTAGAAGCACTCAAAACATGTAATTTTATGGTACCATTGTACGTATAACAGAGTTTTCTGCAAAATAAACATTTTAAAAAATCTTGTATTATTAACTGTATTATAATTTTGAAACCTAAAAAGTCACACGAGAAAAACACATTTAGTTGTAATGTCCTGAAAGGTCGGTATACCTATTAAGATATAACACTAACACTGTTACATTATTATTTCTTTGACTCAGCTGAACTAGATCAATTAATCTAGTTTAGTGAACCACTTTTAGAACGTACATAACCTAAATTCAACATTTATTTTAAGGTTAAGCAACTACTATTAATAACTTTTTTTACAACTAACAGTCGATTTCTACTAACCTGCCTATATTGCCATTGCCTGTTACATTGCGTAAATTAAAAAAAAAGTGAAATTGAAAAAACAAAAGTCACCTAATTCTGCGTGTAACATGATTGATATTTTTTCCCCAAATTTCTACAGTAATATGACTGATCGTAAGACGCATCCTTATATTTCTGACACATCCCTTCAAACTATTTCATTCATATTTCATGTAACGAAAATTCGCCTAGTAACTGAACATAAGCAAACGCAAATGCCTACGTAATCCATATTCACCGAACCGTGTTCAAATATTACATAACATATATAAAGAAAAATGGCCGGCATTTTCTTATCACCATAAGCGGAGCCGCGAAATTCATAGACAAACTGTATATCCCGGAATCAATATCCATCTTCTTATACGTCACGTTCCACAAACATGAGACAGCATCTCTAAACGGTCTCGGAGCAAATAAATATTTCAGTGTAGTTCGTATTTACGCGACGAGAAGCAAACAGTCGTCTTCCACTAGTAGTGGTAATAGTTTTAGAGTGGAACGAAGGGGTGGTGAATTTCTGATGAGGTGCGATGTTGATAGATAGAACATGATATGGCAGAACTACAGTTTTGCTGAAGATTGGTTTGTGACGTAATCCATTGGACTCCAGACTTTAAATACATAATCTTTGGTATCTTCTGTGCTTACATTTAATTTGCGATGATTTAACCTTAAATACAAATGTATATCTCAATATTACTGCTAACATGTTAGGGTTTGGTCCTGGTCATAACTATTCAGCCATCATCATTATGACTAAAAGACCAGCTGTTGTTTAAGTTAACCAATGATATTTCAAATATAAAAACCATTGAGTAAGTATTGCTATTAGATTCAAGATTAATTGTAAATTATTATTAGTAAAACCGATATTAAATGATTACAATTCCAAAAAATTAAAACAAAGTAAGTGGTATAATTTGTTCATGAGAATATTTAATTAGATACTTCTGAAAACAAACATTTCTAATCTAATTAGAAAACCCTTCTCTTAAAACAAGTGGTAACTCATAAATGAAAAAAAGCTTTTCAAGGTTTTAATTTCTCGAGGAAAATACTTTTGTCAAGTTTTGTTCAAATATCGTATGTAATTTAAACACAGGAACAGATCAAATCTATGAGTATTTTTTTTTACATTAGACGGATATCAATATTCAATAAGTTAGCTTATAAAACTATCTGCAGCTTGTGATACCAGATAGCTTTAATATGATCTTGATTGCGCTAGACTAATAGACTTGTATAAATTATATAAAGAAATTGCCATCAATTAGGTTGAGGTCCTTTTTAACGCGGGGAATGCATACCCTCCGTTGGGGAAACGCAGGGCGTGTGAGGGACTCCCGGTGAACCGGTTTACCCACTAAACCCCGCGGCGGCCTACCTCGGCAGTCAGGAGGAGCTCCAGGAACGCATCGGCGGCTTCTGAAGTCCTCCCTGCCCTACCACATGGCTGAGGCACATCCCGGGGTGACTGTAGTCCCGCCATGGATAATACCCCTCGGCCGCACAGGAGTGTCTATGTTGAGGTCCTAATAATTTGATATAGAGGACTCTTCATTCACTCTTCAAATGATCATCTTACAATGGTAACGATGTTCATTTTGATAAAATTACTTGATTGTGCTTGATTCTAAACTATCCGTGCCTCGATCCGGGCGTCGGTCCCGGTTTCCATTCGAACATATATGGCAATCGTTACGAATAGTTGAAGCCTTAAAAAGGCCAATAACAGTCTATCTACAGAACTTCGACTTCTCTAGTTATACTTGGGTTGTGAAGATCTGATGGCAGGTCGCTCTACATATAAAATCGAAGTTCAGATGCATCGTAGTGGTCTCAAAGCTGACCCTAACCTAGTTTAAGAAAAGGCTTGGGAGATGATGACTTGATTCTGAAGTATAACTTTTTCGTACCCAACGTAAGAGCAATACTAATTGTTTTTTTTCTATCTTTTGCAGTAATAGAAACTGGGGACGAGCCAGCAGCATGCGCTGGGCGACGGACTTTGGTCTTGGCCAATCACCAGAGCACAGCAGACGTCCCCATGTTGATGGCTGCTTGGAACCCTCGCCCTGGTGTCCTGCCCAATCTGATGTGGATCATGGACAGGATATTCAAGTTCACGAATTTTGGAATAGTCAGCGTACTGCACGAGGACTTCTTCATACAAGCGGTAAGTGGTAGAATTAATAACGATATAACTGTACTGTACTGCGACAATAACAAATATATTTTATTGGTAAATTATCAGCTAAGTATTCCTCACCTTTATGTTTGGAGAAAATGGACAAAATGTACACCTGATGCAAAAAATATGCAAAATTTATTGATTCATTGGGATTCTTCCAATCAGGGATTGGAAGACATTGGTAACAACCAATGTCTTTCAAACTAAGAAGCTTTGGGACATTCATTTTTTAAAGATTAAAAAAAAACGCCTAACTCAAATCAAAAACATAAACACGCAATGGCAGTTACCGTACAAACAAGTAGTAACTTCTGTTTTCGGAAGCAGTTGAATATATAATACAGAATTAAAGAAGAGAAGAGAACAGAAATCTAATAGGCATTCCTTTATTACCGTTATCACAGGAAAAGATTTTATAAAGGTAAAACAATTTCATAGAATATTTTTATGTATAGTTTTAAATTAAAGTGTTACTTTTACTTTGAACACAATTACTTAACTATCTAGGATGCGATAGTGACGTGTTGTTAAGTACGATCACGTTGTCTGTTACAAATTCTTCAAGACGCTGCACTCTACAGGCAAAACTCGCAAAATGCATATTTTAAGTTTATTACAATTTCCCAGTTTCAAAGCTAAGGCATTTTATCTTGGAAGTGAATAACCATAAGACGTAACACAGACAGAAATAAGCGCAAAGTGATATGTTTGAAAGCCAATAAAATAAAAGGAATTAGATAGAAATTTAAAGTAAGGCCTCTACAATAATGCTACACAGGTTTGCCCTAATATAAGTAAAAAAAATCGTAAAACTTAATCAGTAATTTATTGAAGTTTTATGCGTTCCTTAAACGTCTTAGTATAATGAAATTTATTTCGAGTCCGTCTACTCTATCTATCTAATCAGTAAACTGTTTTTTTTTTAAATAGACACAAATTGATTGATTTAATTGGATTTTTTTTTAGTTTTACCCTTTTCAAATTTTGCTCTAAGGTAATTTTCTTTTGTGTATTTCTTATGCTTTTATATGTTGTTTTCCTGTGAGTACCAGGGAGTTGGTTATCAAAATGGAAGAAATAAAAATTGAAACTGCAAGCTTTTGTGTCCTTATAATTTTTAAAAATTTATGACAACGATAACTTTTGGAATGAAGATGCTTTGGATATATGGCAAACAACCTTAAATATTTTAAACTGTTGCAACATGTCGCTGCGAGCAAGTTATGCTTGCGAAGGAGATGGCGGAGCGGGACCAAGAGAGGTTTTAAACTCTCCCGGTCCGCCAGGCTCGGAAACGGGCCAGGTACCGCAGGACTCAGGCGCCGGAGGACGCAGAACGACCTCCGTCCTCCATAAGCACAGGCCTGGGGGTGACAGGTGAGGCCATCTGTCACCCTAGCAGAAGCAGGTCATCTATAACCCGTAGATGGCCCGTGGTACGTCCAGATACCAAAGCTTCCTTTCTAGGGTATACCTTTATCTGTACTACTAGCTGGCGTGCAGCTTTTTATCGGTTCGAGTCCGACAAAACCATATCTACTGTTAACATTTCTGCAACAACAGTATTAAATAACAGCATTAATCTCTGAAAGTATTACTAGCCTAGAAGTTATGGTCCTAGAATAATCTATTTACCTTCCCTGATGACAATGTTTTAAAACAATCTGAGTCATAAACCTAATTACAGGTCTGACCCAGTTCTTTGACCAGGTCGAGCTGTCAAAGCCCAATAGAACCTTAATTATCCTACACTATAAATTATTGCCTCGTAAATCGTGTACCGTAAAAATCTTTGTCTTTCTTTATCAGTAAATGACTTATGACGGAGGTGGGCGATCTTTAACGACTTTACGATGTTGTAAGTGTATTGGTGCTTATATAGATACAACATGATGGCAACATTGTTGTTTTAAGTGTTACGACTTTTTTTTTCTTCTTTTTGTTTTGCAAATGTAGTGAAGAAAGTTTTATGTGTGGAAGTTGGATATAAGAGAAGACGACGGTCGAAGAACAGATGGGTGAACTGCGTGAAAGAGGATATGACTAGAAAGGTAGTGAGCAGTAAACTGACGAGTGATAAAGGAGAATGTACAAAGGTTGATGATCCTATTGTTTTGCTGCAGCTCAGCTCAAGAACATAACCCAAATGTAACTGACAATTACGCTGGAGATGGTCATGTCTTAGTAGACTCTCTAATAAGGACTGACTTGCGGGTCTATTGCAGATACTGCAGTCTCTATTCCATTACTCACTCTAGACTTGTATCGCTTACCTTAGCTCACTTGTTTTTCTTTTTCTAACAAAAATAAGATACATTCCCTAAGAGGCCTGGCGTCAGCCTGGAGCCATTCATAAAGAAAACCAGCCAAGACCTTTTGCAATGGTACGAATGAGAACAACTAAAAAAAAGTAGGATTAGGAAGATAATGAAATGAGCCTTAGCAGAAAAAGATCCCCGAACCCCTTACCATAGTCATCTAAACAAGTATTAGTATCTTTTTAATTACCAGTTCTTTGAAATAAGACTATGCCATAACTCCGTTTTAAGCTTAGAAGATTTTGTGGCCTATAAATAACATTTTCTTTTGTAAAACTATGACGCATTGTTATATAAAAATGATGGTAGTAACGCTCATTCCCTTTATACTGATTTACATATTAAACGATGCTAAAGATCGTGCCAAAGAAGCCAAAGAAGTGGATCTTTGAAACCTCACCTTTAAAACTTTATCCTCGCACAACCAATCTTTGGAACAAAGTGCCTCCTGCAGTAGTTCTAAACTGGCTCAATATTCAAAGTTCAAAGAAAAGAGCGTACGACGGTGTCGACGGATGGCGTAGTGGTTTGTGTAACAGACTGCTATTCCAAAGGTCGCGGGTTCGATTCCCGCTCAAGTCAAACATTTGTGTGCATGAACATTTAATGTTTGATTTGGTCTGGGTGTTTCTATGTGTAATATGTGTGTATTTATTTACAAATAAAAGTATATATGTATTTATATCAGTTTTCTAGTACCCATAGTACAAGTGTCAGATGTCCGTATTTTTTTTTAATTATATTATTTATACTTATGATGATACTTTTTGGTAAACACCTGAATATGTAAATACCTATTTAAAAACAATCAGTTGGTAATGCATTATCAAACTAATCCGAAAGTGTCAAGTCTACCCCCCTTAACAGCAGAAAACACATGTTAAATCTGTTACATTATTCAAACGAATTTAATAATAAATTTATGATTACATAACTATTTAATTGGCAACGTAACATACTCGTTAATTTAATTTACGAGAGCTTTTAGTAATATGATTAGTAAATGGTAGCAGACAAATTTTAACGATTAAATTACATAGATTTACTTTGATGGGTGTTACATTCATTATGTATGAGTACAATGTGGTACACATTACGGCACCGTTTTGATGTCACGTCGCAATGATATTCATTTTCATTCACATGATGATCACTTTGATCGAGAACTGCTAATATTTCATGTAGGTGTATGGCTTTTGTATTTTCTCCACGCAAATGATATACGTTTCGTCAAAATTAATGGTAGTAATGATTTACTTTACCATGTATTAATTGTTGTTGCAAGTATATTTGTATAATAATTCTGTCGTCATAGAAAAAAATACTCAGTGCGAGTATTTTTTTTTTTTTGAGTTCTTGAATTGTTTTGTATGTTTGATCGCGACACTTCTAAAGAAGAGAAAAACACTGAAGCTAGCCAGAGCTAGGAGAAAAACCAAAAGCTATGCTACTAAACCTTATATCCATTATCAGAGAAAAGTCTCTAGAGAAAAGTTTTGTATTTTTTACTAGTTGGTAGTACTTTTATAAGCGTTGAAAGTTGATGGTTAAAGTTATTTTTTATCCCCCATTACGTTCTATTAGTAAGTTAGTAAGTTTTATTAGCTAAAGCTGTGAAAGTTCAACGAACAAACTACACATTAATTTTACATTTATAATATTAAGGTATTCTAATATTACATTAAGGATTTATTCTGGTTTTTCAATCAATGAAGTACTTTTCATTCGTTCGACAGTCACCAAGTATCGAGAGCTTCGATCACATTACAAACATTACCAGCATCCCATATTAAACTCCAAATGCAGTGCACATGTCATTCGCGATGATTAATCTCGGATAAAGAGTGCTATATTTACATCGGCCATTAAAACGACACTTTAGTCAGCTGTATATTTGTGTGCTGGACACAATTTGCCCACAATTGGCCGTTGGAGTGACGTGATTCACTAACTAATGCCTAGCGTGGGGATGTTGTGGTGTTACAATGGACGACACGGGACCGATACGATTTTAGTATATTGGCTAAATTGTAGGACCAAATTGACTGCGGTGCAAAACGATTGGGAACCTAAATACTGGGGCGCTTATAGATCATGTTTGACATTTAGTTTAAAACACTGCTTTATTCAATATCAAGTATGTATATAGTAGACTTGCAACGAATAGTATATTCGGCAGTATACCGAATACCGAATATTCGGCGAGGCCCCTGACCGAATAGCCGAATATTAGGCAAAAGTATTCGGCTGGATTTTAGCGCCAAAAACTTGTACAGACGTGAATTAAATTATGTACCTGTTTTATGTACCAATGACTACTTAATAAATGATTATAAAAGAAATGAGAACCTTACCCTTCTAAATTTATATTACCACAATATTTCAAATACATAGAATCCTCCATTTTTCCAATTCAGAAGATGATTATGTACCTGTGTTATGCACCAATGACTACTTAAATGATTATAATAGAAATGAAAATATGAATATATACGTAATCAATCGATTTTAATTTTTCATTTTACCAATTATTTCTCAATGACAAAATGTATTATTTAAGTATTCGGTATTCGGCCGAATAATATGTAGATATTCGGTATTCGGCCGAATATAATAAAAGCAGCCGAATAGGCCGAATACCGAATAGTAACCGAATATTCGTTGCAAGTCTAGTATATAGTTTTTCAAGTATATATATAGTGTATTAGTGAAAACGTAGTAAATTCTAATGGCCTTATCTCGTTGAAATTTAGGGAACGCGATAAACCATTCGGTTCCAACTTAATTGTTCGCATGCA